GTTCATTGCCGCGTGGCAAGTCACACGGTGAAGATGGTTCGTCAAAACCATTTATGAGTGAATGGGAAGTTGACGTCGTTTTCAGGTCTAACATTAATTTTTTAGATAAAAATTCTTTTGAATTTTTTTAATAAAAATTATTGTGGGAATTTAATTTAATTCTAAATTCAAATTTTGGGTTCCTAAGTGGTTTCCTAAAAGTTTGTAATTGTGAGAATTTAATTTAATTCTAAATTCAAATTTTTGGGCTCCTAAGTGATTTCCTAAAGTTTGTATCTTCCTTTGTTTATTATACTATTCAAATAGCTTAATATATATATATAATATATATATATTCAATTAGTTTAATATATATATATATATATATATTTGAAATAGTTATTAAATGAAGTTCCAAACAGTTATTGTGTTTGACCAACGGATCACTTTTCATTATTTGAAAAATATGTTCAAAAGTTGCAACGGTCAAAATCAATGTTTGAATAAGTGGTGCACTTGTTCTTTTCAAACAATACCTGTTCGGGTAAGTTTTAAAGGTTACCAAGTGGGCTATCGGTCAAACCTTGTTTGATATAGTGGTGCACCTTTTCTTTTCAAATAAATACCTGTTCGGGTATGTTTAAAAGGTCACCAAGTGGGCTATATACACATCTCACTTTTCCAGTAGTCTATATCTGGAAAAAACATTGAGTCTGAAATTTTGTCATTTTGCTGTCCATTTTCTTTTAGTGCATTATTCTTCATATATAATTTTAGGAATAAATATTCAGAGAGTCAGAACACAGGTTTGGTTCGCCGAACAATTTGTTTTGGAGTGCTACTACAAATTGGTTAAGATCATTGAATCATGGGAGATAGACGCCACATAACCGTAAGCACCGTAGCGGGGCGAATCTGTCTTAAGGACAAAGTGTCACACACTCGACTTGGCCTTTTGATTTTTAAATTCGGTTCAACAAAATAAATTAGGTAAGTTTTATTTTATTTTGTTTGGCTTTGTTTTTATTTATTTCATTTACACAAAAGATTGTTTCAACAGGGGTGTCCTAAATAAGTACACTTTTTGTCTTTTTGGACTAAAAAGTTGAGAAAAAAAATATAGATGTTTGGGTTAACTTTTTGATTTTTTATGGAAAAATGTGTATTAAAAAATTGTATAAAGAAGTGTGTAGGAGAAAATTGAAGAGGTGTGGGCCACAGTCGTACAATCTGCACAAGTGAAATGGGAGTAAGAAATTATTGGCTACTTTTCGGGCATTGCACTGGACGGTTTTGTTCGGCCCGTGGGGGTCATCACGGGTGCCATTTTGATAATCTGAACCGTTCAATGTGTAAAATTCGTCGAGTACTATATGTCTCTAAAAAATCACGTTGATCGGATATCGATAGCTATCCGATTAGATTTATTTTTTTTCAATCGTTAATTATAACACCATCCATTTGTTGTACATAACTGATTTGATCATGTAGTTATCGATATCCGATCAATGTGATCTTTTATAGACATATAGTACTCGACGAGTTCTACACATTGAATGGTTCAGATTATCAAAACGGGACCTGTGATGGCCCCCACAAGCTGAACAACAACCATCTAAAATTACATCCAATCATTTCATTATTGTCAACAAACGCAGCACAGCAGCCGCACATAGATGATATCAAGTTGTACTTTTGTTTAGAAAATTGATTTTTTAATTTTTTTTTGTGAATAATGATAGCTTTTTAATTTTTTGAATAACTTTTTGAGTTTTTGTCTTTTTTAGGTTATACCAAACCAGCCCTTCGTAATATTTTTATTTGTGATTTAAATTGGAATAATTTTTACCTAATTTACTCAATATTGATTTTATTAAGTAGTTTGGATAAGATTACATTTATTGTTCATATTATATAATACATTTATAAGAATAATTAAATACAGATTCTCACAAAAATAGTTAAATAATTAGAAAGTCGAACTAAAAAAGCTCATCCCAAATGAGGGCTAAATAATTTCAAAAACCATTTAAACTTCACTAGAGGGACCTTTATTTTAAAAGGCAAATTACATTTTATCCCCTTAATTATTATCGTTTTTCACTTTACCCTCTTAAACTAAAATTTGATACAATGTACCTTCTTCATTTTTTGAAAGTTCTAATCTAATTCTTATGTTTCAATTTTGTTAACAAAATAGATAGAAAATATGGATATAATGTGCACTTTAAAAATCTGTTTTAAATATAACATGTGCACAATACATGCACATTTTTGGCCTTTGTTGTTAACAAAATTGAGACATAAAAATTTGATTGAGAATTTTTAAAAGATGAAAAGAGTATAATATATCAATTTTTAGTTTGAAACAGTAAAATAAAAAATTAGTTGAGAGGATAAAGTATAATTTGTAGGGGTGGGCGCGGGTCGGTTGCGCCCACGGAACCTCCAATCCACTATCCGTCCGCCAGATTGGCGGATTGGAGAAAATCAATCTGCATCCGTCCGTCAATCCGGCGGATGTGGATTGAGCGGATTGGCGGGTTGACGGATGGATGCGAATCGGTTTAGCGGTTTGAAATTTTATAAATTTTCAACATATTTCAACCTGTGCACTTCAAAAAAAAAAAAAAAAAAAAAATATTACAGTCAATGACTTAAAAAAGTATTACAATCACTGTATGCCTTATCTAAAGAAAGAAAGTTTAAAACTTTAGAATATCACGATCACTGCATGCCTCATCCACATATTATAATCACAGTATGATTCATCCACATAAATTATTACAATCTGTGGTTCTTAAAATATAATAACAATTCAAACCACTAAAACCATGAACAGAATAGTAATAGAAATTGTATGTCTCTGTATTGTTACATCTACATATGTTTTTGAAAACAAAAACCAACCAGCATATATCATATTTTCTATTTATTATTTTTAGATTTAGATTTAAAAACCAAAAACTATAGATAAATAATACGTTTATTTTTTTCAATTCAAAAAATATATTCAAGTTGAAAACTTTTTTTCAACAGAATATTTAAACTATTTTTCAATTGAAAACACAAACATAATATTTAAACAAATTGAAAACACAAAATCTTATAAATTACTAGGGGTGCTCGTGGTTTGGCAGTTTGGCGATTCGGTTGCGGCCAAATAAATCTCAAATCCACCATCCATCTGCCAAATTGGTGGATTGAAGAAAATCAATCCGCAACTGTCTGCTCGTCATCACGCATCTGTCCAAAATGTAATAGATCGGTTCGATGTAACAGATCGATTCAGTTCGATCGATTTTGACAGATCGATATATCTGCTGCTCACCTCTAATAATTTGTCTTATTTTTTAAATTCATTGAAATTATATTTGATTGTAAGGTGTGGTACCATTGGGAGCGTGAGGCAACAACAGGGTTTTGTTTTTGCTGCCTTTCCTTTCTTTCTTTCTTTCTTTCTTTCCTTGTTTGAGTTTCCCCGGAAAAGAGGTCAGTGAACATGGACTATACCTGTCACCACCACCGCTGCATTGGTAAAAATGCTTACTCGTTATTTTATTCCATTTTTTATCTCTTTGTTTTTCTTTTCATTTCTTCAAATCTTTTCCTTCGTCTCTTGCAATTCTTACCTGATAAAAACATGGTTTGGAATGAGAGTGAGAGAGTGAGAGTGAGAGTGAGAGTGAGTTGAGAGCTTTTTTAAACGTTCTTCTGTATGACATTAAGTCCTTCCGCTTAGCTAGAGAGAACGACTTGTATGCAGAGAGAATTTCCTTTGTATATGTATATTTCATATAGAAGCTTGGGAAATAAAAAACCCTAATACTGTGTGTTTGGTAGAGGGATTTGAGGAGGATTTGAAATATAAATAAAATATACTTATATTTCACATGTCTTTTTCTTTTCTTTTTCCAAATTACTCCCTAAATCTCCCAACCAAACGCAGTAAGTCTGTGTTTGGTTGGAGATTTGGAAAGAAATTTAAAAAGATTAGGGATTTGGAAAAGGATTTGAAAAGGAAAAGGGAAAATGTATGTGAAACTAGATAAAATGTAGTATATTTTATTCACATTTTACCTGTCGTTTCCTTTTCCCTTCCCAAGTCTCCCAACCAAACACAGCGTAAAGAAAGGGTTGCAAAAGCAGAAACGGTATGAAATAAAAGCTAGTTAGGGTTATATATGTGCATTTCTATATATATATATATATATGTATATGCATATGTATCTGTATATGCCTCTGTATGTATGTATAAAGAGAGCTTTTAAATAATAAGAAAACCACTTCGGTATTATTTGGGTTTGAAGTTTTGAATTTTTTATAGCTTTTACTTTATTATAATGCTAATGTTGCTTTCTGAAGTTCATGTGAACCAATTACTAATTCGGAGTGTTTCAAGTATATCCTTTTCAATTGATATTATGCCTAATCCAATTATTTTTTCTTGTGACATAGCAAATTTTAGGTAAGATTTTTGCTAATTTTAATTTTGAAAATTTTCTTTCTGCACAATTTAATGTGAGTGATGCTGTTAATAATATTCTATAAGCAATGCATGTATTTGGAAATGAATCTAGTCCAAATTTTTGTTAATTTTTTCTATATAAACTTTAGGAGATTAACAAGTGCCTCAAAATCGTTAATTTTAACTACTAACTTGAACAAAATGACTAAATTAAAATTAGATTTGAAGTGTTGAAACCAAATTGGTCAACTTAAATGATAAGAATCAAAGTGAAATTTAGATCAAACTATGAAAATTAAAAGTGTAATTTACCCATACTTTATTGTCCCATGTCATCCAACTGTCTGCACAAACACATTGCAGGCCTATTATAGCAGCAATTCATCTAGATTACATACAAAAATGGGGCCCCTTATCAAATCGGGGCCTTAGGCCACTCACTAGTAACTTGCCTAGCGAGTGAGCCATTACTGTTTGTTGTTAGTCTATTTAATTATTTATGTTTCTGTTGCTTAAATAATTGTAGGCACTTACAAATTTTGGTGTTGTACAGGGTCTCACTTGAATATTCCAATTCAAAGTATTGATAATTCTTTGCGGGTCGGTGCTCCAAGGATGCCTCCGCTAACAGAATCATATGGAACTGATGCTGTGGTTGTGAGGTCTAGAATTCAGTGTATCGAGAAAGAGGCATACACTGCTGTCTTGAGGGCTTTCATGGCTCAATCTGATGTTCTTTCTTGGGTATGCTTTTTTAACATTGATCTGCTTGTTTTGCATTCAAACTTTTTAATAGTATTACTTTTAGCTCTTCAACTGTATGGTTATTTTGTCTCTTACGTGTGAACAAAACCTTTTATGGATGCTAACAGAATTGCCAAAGTAATAGTTGCACATTATTACAGGGCAAAGAGGGGCTGATTACTGAGCTGCGTAGAGAGCTAAATGTTACAGATCAGGAACACCGAAAGCTCCTCACTGAGATTCAGTCAGATGAGTTTGCCAGAATGATAAGGTGGTCATAGTTCTATTTTTATAGACAAAGTTATATATAGTCATTATTTGCAATAGGGGTTTTCATGGGTTTGTTCGGCTCGGGTTCACTCTTAATCCGTCAATTGAACTGACACGATCAGGTTGGGAAATCACTCAACTGTTGCCAACTGGTCATCATCAAAATCAACCTAGAACAAGCACTCGGTTTAGCAGTCAGATCGGTTAATTTCGAAGATTTGCTAGAGAAAAACAGTGGAAGAAAAATATGGGGGAAATGAAGTTCAAAATTCACAATAACTTAAACTCATACATATCTGAGAGAGAGAGAGAGAAGAAAATAAAATGGGAAAAGGGGAAGGAAAGAGGGGATACTATGTCACCAAATGCCACAACCCTCTCTATTGCTCATTGCGAGAGAGAGAGAGAGAGAGAAGGAAATAAAATGGGAAAAGGGGAAGGAAAGAGGGGATACTATGTCACCAAATGCCACAACCCTCTCTATTGCTCGTTGCCGCCAGCACTGCCCTCACTATCTCTCCCATTGCTAGTGCTCATCATCGACACGTTGTCGATAACCGCCATCGGTAAGGAGAAGGGAGAGAGAGAGAGAGAGAGAGAGAGAGAGACGCAAAGATAAGAAATTTTGAAGGGAAATAGAGGATAGGCCAAGAGTGAATACAGAAGTCTCCTAGTCTTTTGTTAATTTTTTATTTATGAGAGAGTTTATGGGGAACAGATAGATACACATTATTTTGATGAGAGAGAGAGAGAGAGAGAGAGAGAGAGAGAGAGAGAGAGAGAGAGAGAGTATGGGAAATAGATACAAAGATGAAAGACAAGAAATTTCGAAAAGAGAGATAAACCCAAGAGTAAATACAGAGAAGTCTCTTAGTCTTCTGTTAATTTTTTATTTATGAGAGTGATTTTACGGGAAATAGGTAGATGCACATTATTTTTATGAGAGAGATAGAGAGAGTGTGTGTTTATGAGAAACAGATACACAGCTTTTATGTCAATTACATGGAGTCAAATTAATGCCTTTCCAAAAACCAAAAATGAGTCCGACCAGAAGATTTAAATGTATATTTGCCTTGCTGAGAGTCAAAAACGTATGACAGCACAAGATTTAAATATATAACTAATATTTTTTTAGATTGGATCAGGTTGGTTGAATATAAAAACCAGTTACCCACCACTGACTGCAGAACTGCCAAATCTCACAGAACAAAACCACAGCCGACACCTGTCTGTTTGAAACCATCTGTACTTTTACTGGTCGGTTTGGGCTGGACGGTTTTGGTGGGTTCGCAGATACCATGAACAGACCTAATTTGCAATATTCATTTGCATATTGAATTATATAATTGTATATTTTTTTTTTTGATCAGCAACAGAAAAGAGAAATTTTATTGTATAATTGTATTGTTCACCTGTATTTGTGTGTTTGTGTTTGTTTAACTGATTATTTAGTTATTATGACTGAACACATGGACGATTTATTACCTTAAATAACTTATTTGCAATAGGGAATGGCGAAAAAGCACCTGCCATGCCCAAGAATTGTCTTCCAGTAGAATGGATGCTCCTGGCTTTGTTCCTAGTTCTATGAGCAATGCTTCTCACAAAATATCGATGACTTCCCATCCTGATGTTTCAATGTTACAGAGATATGTGTCTCATAGTCAACCTACTTCAGCTGCTAATCCTTCTTCATTTCCAGTAAGTAGAGAGAGCAGAAGCTCAAGATGGAATGCAATATGCATATGTTTACTTAAATATTCTTGGCCAAATTTACTATATATACAAGGTACACTGGCTAGATTAGCTCAACATTCCAAAATATGAGCATATAGCACAGCATTTAGTGGAAACTTTTTAATAGATTTGTGGCACACAATATATGTATAGGATACTGGATGGTAGGCAAGTATGAAGTAATACTATTAAAAATTAATCAGTTTTCCATATCGTCTTAAATTTAAAAATAAAAGAAGAAGAAGAAGTGGAGCTCCCCATTACCATAACAAACGACAATGGGGTGTGTATGCTTTACAAACGAGTAAATAGTGGAGTGGGGTGGGGTGGGAGTTATGAACTTCTTGAATTTGCTGTTAAATTGTGCATAGATCTAGTTTCTCTGAAAAAGCATGGTGTTAGTTTAAGCGGAATAAAATTTCCTTTTGTCAATTATATCATTTCCTTTTCAAATATTGCTCCTATCAGTAGCTAGTGACATACAGCTTTTGAATTGAAAAATAAAAAAGATATCATAATGTGAAGCGTTCTAATGCGTTGTAGATTCTTATCCAACCAAAATATGAAGCATAAGATGTGTTGTCTATTCCCAAGAAGAACCTATTTATGAGATGATGTAAGCAAATGTTGTTTCTTTCACAAATATTTCATTTGTTTTTTATAAGATGATGTAAGCAAAAAAAAAGGGGCCATGTGTCTAGATTTAGGTTTATGTTTCATGGAATTATAGCATCTGAACTAATTCTTATTGCTGGATACATGGGAACAAATCATTGACCCTACAGTTAACGTCTCATCTTGGTGTTGCAGTATGATGATATTTTTATTTTATTTTTTCATGATAGTTTCATATGATGATATGACTTGTGATCATAGCATAGGAAGATGTTTAAAACTTGCTATATGGGTCTTTTATTTAGGGCACCATCATAGCACAATGAACTTAACTACCGTTCAAGACAGGACTATATGTGCTTGTGGACATTTTACACATTTAGACTGATGACCATATGTTCCTAGAGTCCTAGACATAAACAAGAGATGGATTTTCCCTAGTGATAAGTGCCAACCTTGAATATTGATTTCTCTAGTGATGAAGAGCAACATCCAACGTTATGCCAATTTTAACATTGTAAAAAGCAAGTCCCCAAGAATACATGGTAGAGTAACCATTATATATCCTTATATTGATATAGTAAATTATATTTTCTTCTAGGTAGAATATTGGCTGTCAAGTTCAAGAATGTGGGTGTGCCTCTTAGGACGACTACTATATGCAAATATTGCCAAAGGTTAGGATTGTATCAAGTCCACACCTAGCAATCTGCTTCAGTGGACCATTTGCTAATGTATTGATTTTATTTGAGACATTTGTTTTTGCAAAATTACTAAAATATTGAAAAAATTTTATGCTTTTCCCAGTCAAAATGCTGTGAGTGTATAATATGGCCTTAGGCCATGTTTGTTTGTCGAACTAGATCAAAGAGGATTACATGCCCTGTAATTATTAGCTCGGATAGCCAATGACATCCAAATGCCAAATGACATGGATGGCCAAAATGCTGTTTCATTTACCCAAAAAATTCATCAATTATTTAAGAAAAAAATTTTAGAACAAAAATTTCATGGGTTTCATGTACAAAATTCATTTAAAAAAAGGTTCACCCATTGAATTTATTACAAAAGAAAAAATAATTCATTTGTATAATTTATTGAAGTTGGTCAGAGAACATTGGTTGACCAAGAACGATAGTTGGCCTTGCAAAATAATGCCAATTCTTTAATACCCGAATAGGTCAAACATGGCTTTTGAGGGAATGAAATAATTTGAATAAAAAAAATTAAATTGTTAAATATTCCTAAATAAGCCCAAATGGCTTGATATTATGTGGGAGATGGTCCATTGATTGCAAATCATTTACACTTGCACCCATCTTCATAAATGCCAAGTATTCTAGTTTAGTCTTCTCTCTCTTTCTTCTTCTTCTTCTTCTTCTTCTTTGGTGTGTGTGTGTGTGGATAGTGTCCTTGCATGGTCTATAATCTGGCTTGAACATGAATTTTCATCCTTTAATGATCGATAGCTTACCTTTGATAATAGGTTAAATCTAATTTATTTTTATTTTTCTTTAAAAGAAAAAAAGAAACAAAATCTACCTGTTGATTGTGCTACTTAGTAGGGAAATGGTCAAAGACTCATTATTGAAGGCTCCGTTTTCTATCATGGTTTTTATGTTATACATGTGAGATGGCCTATAATTTAATGTATGAAGTAGTAAACTTTGTATTATCGATGGAGACCCAAGTTTTGTTTGTAAAATCAGCATTTTAAATTTGGAATATTGACTAGGAATGGTGATTTCCACGGACAAGAGATTCAATTTTGGATCTTAAGAATATTAGATTTGTATTAAAGAGAAAAGGGTTGTTACTTTTGATCTTATATTTTTTGGTATTCTAACCACAATACTAGTCCATTTACACCATTGAATTTTATTTGGGGCTGATAAATTTTATTACTAAAACCTATGAGTTGAGTTAGACTTGGTGTTTGATAAAACTGAAGACTAAAGACTGAAAATTAAGTATTAAAAATTGAATGTTGAATTTTTTAAGTTGAAAAGTTGTTTGATAAAAATTTAACTGCTGAACTAAAAATAAGTTGTTTGTATGTATGATATGAAATTTAAAATTTATTATTTTCAAATTCTATATTTCAATTTTTATATTGTGATGGCGGTGGCGGTGGCGGTGGCGGTGGCGGTGGCGGTGGCGGTGGTGTTGGTGTTGTGGTATGATGGTAGGGGTAGCGGTAGCGGTAGTGTTAATGGTGGTGGCAGTGGTGGGAGCAATAGCGATGGTGTGGTGGTAGTGGTGGTAGTTATGGTAGCGGTGACATGCAGCGGCGACGACGACAACGACGACGACTACGACAACCAGGCATAGTGGTGGTAGTAGTAGTGAAGGTGATGGTGGTGGTGGTAGTGAGTTTGTAATAGTGTATATTGATACTTATGTTTAGTATATATAAATTTGGTTAGAATTAAGTAAGTTTCATCTGATTTAAAATTTTCTTTAATTTTAGTCTACATTGTGATAGGCACTTAAATTTTAAGTAATATCAATTATGGTTATCAAACGAGTCTGATTGATTATCACTTAATACATTCAATTTTAAGTGCTAAAATAGGTTATCAAACACCCCCTTAGTATGGTGTGTCTGGTGCAATATTGATAGTTTATTGGTTCTTGCTATTTGTTCCTTATTTTTATTTTTTAAAATTAACTTGGTTTAATTTATTATTATTCTTTTACTATTTTTTGTATTGAAATTTATGTTGCGTGCTAAGGTTGTGTTTTGTTGTAAGATCAAGGGACATGACAAACATGATCTTATATTTTCCACATTTCCATTTTAAACTTTAGGTGGTTCTCTAAGGTTGTGTTTGGATTATGAATTTGTGAAAGAATGTAGAAAGGGAAAGAAAAAGGAAAAAGTGAGGGAAATGTGAATGAAATAGAAGTTAATTTTTTATTTTAGTTTTTTATTTTTATTTTCCAATTCTCTTGTCTTGTCCTTTCACTATCTAAATCTATGATCCAAACACAGTTAAGGAGCCTTGTCTGTTGCTAGACTAAAGGCTTACTTTGTCCTTGGGGGTAGATACTTTAGATGGCAGGTCTCAATCTCCTAATTTAGGGTTAAATGAGGAAGACATTCACATCTTCATAAAGTCAAGTTGAAGCTTGATGACTGGGATCAAAACTTCATTTCAGTGTGTTGGTTCATTCAGCTTGGAAATGGAAATATTTTGGAAACACATCGCAAAAGGCTACAAGTTTGGAAATGCATGGAAATGTTTGCAAATAAAATCAAAATTTATAGAAATGTTATATAATTAGACCACTAAACATGCTACACGACCCTTTTCACATGAATTGCTCAAGCGTATAATCTGGAAGTAAATGTCAATGTGGACCACAAATCATTAACTTAATGTTGTCAAACAAAAGTGATGTAGTAGAATAAATGTGTGATTAGATGACCTATCCAGTTGTAGTTTAGTTGTAGTCCTTAAATAGGTGATTTAATAATTGTACTTAGTTTTTTATGAAAGAATATACATTATGATTGGATGGTTTTACTCCTAATTGGGGCATTTGTCTTCTCTCTCTCTCTCTCAATTTGATCATTGATTTGCATTTGTATTGCATTAGTTGGTATCAGAGCCTCAGTTCAGATTCTTTGTTCCTATTCATGTGATGATTGCATGAATTGAGTTCACTCAGTTCGTAGCTTAAACCTGGTTGGTAATTTGCAGCAACACAAGCCCTAATTTTCCTTACGTCTGTGTCGATCAAACACCCTGAATTTGATTCAAGACTTGTTGCGATTGTGACTCTAGTCTGAGATTGACTTAGATTCAGTGCCTCAGATACTTCGCAGAGCTTAATAGATCTCTTGTTGACTTCGACTCCATTGCCAGCTTTTGTGAATCGACATCGTGATCTGATTTCGACCTAGGTTTAGTTTTGCTATTTCGATTTTGTGAATCTAATTCGTGACCTGAGAATACCAGCTCTAGAAGCATCGCGACTCTAGATTGACCTTGATCTAACGCCATAGTTGAGTTGCGACCTCGATTCGATAGTTTCTTTGTCAAGATACAAACTTGAATTGACATCCAGGTTGAAGACCCAAACTCGATCTGAGACCAAGTTGAAGATTTGAACTCAATCTGAAGATCCTAGGTGAGATCTGAAACTCGATTTGAAATCCAAACTGCAATTCGAAACCCTAGTTACAGTCGCGATTCTGGTTCTTTAGATTTCACTTCGATTTCTCAACGTGTTTGTGAATTGTCTTCTACTATTGGACTCGGTTTCGCGATTTGGTTTTTGTGATATGGATTCGACTTCATAGATTGAGCTTTGACCTAGATCTGTTCTTGGATTCTTGGTATTGTGAGCTGTTAGTGTCCGTCTTTGATTGAGGACTGGGTTTGCCAACATTTCGATATTGTGCGAGATTTAATTTTGCTGTCATTTCTTGAGTCTGTTAATTCGAATATTCTGTTGGTTGGACTGCTCTCCTTCGTACTGCATTGAAGGTGCTTTTGTCACACTATTCTGAAGTCTTGTTGAATGCATTGTGTTAGTGTACTGTGAATCAGTTTGCTGCAGATTGGCCTATAACCTTGTCTTTGAGACAGATCTTTCGCTGCGAATTTAGGTGAAGAACAGAGATGAATCTCTCAATTGGAAGGAGCAATGATGCTAATTCAAATCAAACTCATAATCAAAGAGATGAGTTGAAACAAAGGAGTGGACGACTTGTTGCATTACAAGCCGACATTGAAATCTTTGAAAGCTTCAAAGAGTTTATTTGAAGCTTATCTTTGGTACACCTTTCATGCCTCTTTAGGAAGTTGTTTTGAGTCATGTGGGGTTGCTTCTTGTGATGCTCATTTAGCCATTGTGTTCGAAGGAAGAAAGGAAGAAAGGAGTGAGTCCAGCTCGTGATCAGTTTCTCTCAAGTCATTCTTGTCTACTGGGTTTAAAGTCAATCCTGTCAATTTGTTACATCCTTCAGCCTTGTTTTCGGAAGATATCATTTGCCAGCCTAGTGGTCTCGTTTCAACAGGAAGAGCACTCTTGTGCACCATTCTGCAAGTCAGAGGTGAAAAGGCATGGGACAATGAGAGTCTATCCAAGCTTTAGCAAGAGGGTGTGGACATGATTGGAGTTGTCAGTTGCACCTATGGTTGTTTAACCAAGGAAGCAGGTCGATGTATTCATAGACGAATGAATTGTGAGGACCATGTTTGTGTTGAGCAAGGAAATGCAGCACCTCTTCCTCACCTATGACTACAAAAGTGATGTTACATTGAGTTCACATAGTGGCTTCTTAAACTTGAGGTCAAGTTTCTTCAAGAGGGGGAGTACTGATGTAGTAGAATAAATATCTTAAGTGTATGATTAGGTGGCCTATTAGTTGTAGTTTAGTTGTAGACTTGTAGTCTATAAATAGGTGATTTAATACTATTGTACTTAGCTTTTGAGTAAAGAATATACATTGTGATTGGAGTAGAGGTTGGTTTCTCTCTCTATCCCTTAATTGGGGAGTGGTTATTGGGTGCTCCTGGAGCATGGCCATGTGGTGCTCCAAGGTGTCGTGATTGCTGGAGAAGGTAGGGCCTATGATTTTGTGTCGAATGATTGAGGAACATAGTGGGCATAGTGTATGATGATTAGTAAAAGAGTATGAACATGTGGCGCTCCAGGAGCATTGAATAAGTTTTCCTAATTGGGGCATTTGTCTTCTCTTTCTCAATTTGAGAATTGCTTTGCTTTTGGATTCCATTTTAAGTGTATATTATTCTAAATGTGCATTAGATTCTGTTAGATTATCATTAGCTCCAAAAGCTTAAGTTGTTATAGTCAAGGGCCCAACAATGCATATCAAACTCTCCAGCACCGTTTCTCATGTGCAAGTCTGTCTTGCACATGGAGATGCAATCATCCAAACATAGAGAGAAACATAATGGAAATGGGGACAAATATAGACAAAGAAACTTAAATCCAAGACCTCACTTAGCCTGAGCTTTGTTACCATATTAGATAGCTACTAGTTCCAAATGCTTGAGTTGTTAGGAGAAGGGTCAAACAATGCATATCAAACTCTCCAACAAGCTCCAACCAAATAAGGTTTACAAAGTTATCCACACAAAGAAAAAAGGATAGTAGAAATAACTCTTGTTAAGGTAATCTTGATAGATTTCGAAACAACTCACTATTGGGTGTGTTTCAATTGTTTTTGATGCAACCAAGTTGATGCAAGATTGAAATTATAATTTTCAATTGAGCCATCAAAATTATTTTCTAATTATGTTATTATACTTCTTTGTTTTTTGTATTTTTAGGGTTTTGGGGGTGAATCTTGTGGCTTCTGCTGGTATAATAATATTGGGTAGGGCTAGCCTTGTATAGTAATTACTTGTTCAGGATTATAAGGCCTAAAAAATGGCCTGTTATGGAAAAAGGAATAACTCTGAAGACGTATAAAAGTTGAATAGTTGTAGGGGCCATGCGATCTCTCTTTCTCTCTCTCCCCTCTTCTCTTTCTCTCCTCTCAATCTTTCCGGCTATCCTTCTCCTTATTTATTTATTGATTTATTTTAATCTTCATTTCTTTTCTTTTTTTTGAATTCTCTTTCTTTTCCTATGTTCTTCTCTTTCTCTCATCGCCTCTATCTCTTTCTCATGAAACAAATCAACATATTGATTTGCCCTTCTAGTTTTTTAGGACAATCTGAAGAAGTTCTTGCTACATCAGTTTTGATGTTTTGTGGAAACCCTGAAATTTTGGTTTTGTGTTGGTTGCCTAAGAAATGGAAACTGTGGGGCCATTTTTTTATGAAAATAAATTTGTTACTTTAGCATGACTTGGTTTCTAATTGTTGGTGAATTGCACTGTTTGCTAGTGGGGTGCACTTCTTTATTTTTTGAATGAAACTGAAAACAGACAGATCTTTTGGACCTGTGCTGTAGTGCCACCTAGTCAATATGTATTTCAATAACACTAAGAATTTCATGTAGTCCTTTTAGTTTTTCTAATTGCTTCACTAGGGTTTGGAACGTAAATGAGTATATTTGTGTCATCTATGTATTTGTAATATTTATGTTTTTATACAGTGCTGAAAGTTTATCGAATTTATCCAGGCACAGTACAGGAATGGTCAAAGTATTGGAGGATTGCTTACTTACTCCACCGGCAATGCAGGGCAGCCGATGAAAGCAGTTGTTCCTAATGTTATGGTCCCATCTGCAAGCAAAAATAGAGGGCCAGTGAAACCTCAGTCAAAGATGGGCTTTTATGTTGCTGATGTTGACAATCTCCAAAAAACATCTGATATAATTAAGATCCGTGCAACAAATAAGCTTCTGCATAAGGTGCAGCAAGATAAGCTCACAACTAAAAAAATGATTTTTTGCATTGGCAACATGTCGTCAAAAAAAGTATTTGCAACAACATGACAATTGCAAATGGGGGGTAAAAAATGCTGGGATGGCAAAAACATTTTGCGATGGCAAAGTTGCCGTTGCCATTTTTGGTGATGGCAAATGCTAGTTTTAGCCACAACAAAATGCTGTTGCAAAAGATATTGAAAGAAACAATTTTGTTTGGGGTGTGTTGGGTTAATTTGCCATCGCAAATAATACTTTTTTCATCGGCGATGTTGATGTAGGATTATTTATTTAGTTATTTATTTATTTTATTTTTTAAATCTAGTTATTTGCAATAACTAATATTGGAATGTAACCCACCCAAAAAAATATTGGAATGTAGAGGTTATGACTTGGCGCAATGGCAATGCTCTTTTTCCCTAGTGTTGTGGCGTGGGTTCGAGTCATGGGGTCAGCCTCTTTGTGAAGTGGAGAGAAGGCTGCCTTCATCATCTCTTACACTGCTGTAGAAGTGGGAGCTCATCTCTTACACTGCTGTAGAAGTGGGAACCTTGTGCACTGACCACAACCTTTAGGCAATGTTTGATACACTAGATTTTCTGGCACTGTTTGGGATTGGTAATCCTATGGGATTGAAGTCAGGATTGGTAAATATGTACGATAGGGGATAAGATTATATATACCATGGGAGTACTCGTACATTGATTAGGATAGGATATAACATGGGGTAAGAGGAGGATTATTTTTTACCATTGAATGGGGTGATTAGTAATACGACGGTACTACCAATCTCACTCTTTTTTCCCCCAATCAAACGCATTATTAGGGGACAACAAAAAACATGCAGGGCCCACATGGGCCCGTGGTATTATCAATCCCAATCGTGCCTCCAAGCCCTCCTCCAAACTGCTTATTAAATAGGGCCTTGGGGTTTCAATTGCATGTACTATACCTATTTAATGGATTTTACCTAAAGTTTTCTAAGTTATGGTGATCCAAGGAAGAATCTTGATATTTCAATTCAACTAGGTTTTTGGTTTATGAAACAAGTGTAGATTCTCATGAGTTTCATCTTTAGCAGTTTTTTAATCCCTATTGCAGGTTGAGAGTATGATCTGTGGAAGGGAAGTCAATCCTGACCCTGTTCAAGTGGAGAAGGCGAAGGCAATCCTCTTGGTACTTTCTGCTCCCACTTCCGTGGCATTGCTTATACTACGTTGTTCTTGGCAAAGTTACAACAGTTCATGTCTGGATTGTCATATATTAATGGTAGAACTGCTTTGTGAACTTCTAATCTACTAGGAGCACGAGGTAGCAATCCTTGAAGTGCTTGCAAAACTTGCTGATGTGTCAGATGGGGGTGAGTCGAGTCAATTATTTGTATCAATCTTGCTTCCTTTTTGACTTGTTTATCAATGCAACATGTGGACTCTTATTTGCAATCTCTCAGATGATTCTCCCAAACAATTTCAATATCATGAGGAGCGCCAGAGAATTGGAAGAGGGATGGCAACACAAAAGGACTTGTATGTATGGTCAGGTTGATAACAGACTGAGACTCCATTGATGGGTTCAGATGTAGATATATATATATATATATATATATATGGGTAGCACATTACCGCTGTACAGGCTCTCAGCATATCAGCACCTTGTTTTAGGTGTTAGTTTGTGATAGTATACTGGTTGTTGTAGGATGGTCACATTTGGGCTCAAACCTTCTGCTGAGTACCTACCCTAACACAGGTGATTACTAGAATTCCCTCAATCACACACAGTTGAAGTGTCAATTCAGTGCAGAGAACAATATGGCAATAGAAAGGCTGCTGTGTTATGGTCATAGTATCTGTGTTGTTCTTGGTTGTGGCTAGTATGGGCATATCGAAATAATGTACTGTGTTTGTAGCTAATAGCAAGCATATTTACATGATTCATGTGTGACCTCCTTAACTTCATATAATTCGTATATCACTTTACAACACATTTGCACCATTGAGGAACAGTGCGATGCGCAAGAAAGCGCGATAAAATACATGCACAATGCAAGTAAGGTGTACAAAACAATGCGATGCGCAAAATAACGCGATAAAATGCATCTTCTAAGCAAGTAAAGGTGCACAAAACAGTGCGATGCGCAAAATAGCGCGATAAAATGCATGCACCATGCAAGACTTGGCATACAGCTTATGACATAGCATTTCATTCATTTGGCACACAGCTCACAACACAACACTTTGTTTGTTTGGCACGCGGCTCGCAACACAATATTCTGTTCATTCGGCACACAGCTCGAAACACAGCACTCTGTTTATCTGGGCACACAGCTCATTCGAGCACACAGCTCATTTCGGGCACACAGCTCATCTTGGGGGCACACAGCTCATTTTTCGGGCACACGGCTCATTTAAAGAGCACATAGCTCATTTCGGGCGCGCGGCTCGTTTGGGACACATGGCTCATTCTGAACACATAGTTCATTTCGGGCACACAGCACATTTTGGGGCACACAGCACATTTGGGGCACACAGCACATTTTCGGGCACACAGCTCATTCTTCGGGCACACAGCTCATTTTCGGGCACGCAACTCATTTTTGGGCGCACAGCTCATTTCTGGGCACGCAGGTTATTTTTCAATTTTTGAACACCCAGCTCATCATTTTTTCATTTTGAACACACAGCTCACTCACTTCATTTTGAACACGCAGCTCACACATTTCAATTCTGAACACGCAGCTCATACATTTTCATTTGCACGCAGCTCATTCTTAATTCTAAACACGCAGCTCATAAATTTTCATTTTTGAACACACAACTCATTTATTTCATTTTGAACACGCAACTTACACATTTCAATTCTGAACACGCAGCTCATAAATTTTCACTTCTGAACACAGCTCATTCACTTCATTTTGAACACGTAGCTCATACATTTTCATTTGCACGCAGCTCATTCTTAATTCTGAACACGCAGCTCATAAATTTTCATTTCTGAACACACAGCTCATTCACTTCATTTTGAACACGCAGCTCACACATTTCAATTCTGAACACGCAGCTCATACATTTTCATTTGCATACAGCTCATCCTTAATTCTGAACACGCAGCTCATAAATTTTTATTTCTGAACACACAACTCATTAACTTCATTTTGAGCACGCAGCTCAGACATTTCAATTCTGAACACGCAGCTTATATATTTTCATTTGCACGCGCTCATTCTTAATTCTGAACACGCAGCTCATAAATTTTCATTTCTGAACACACAACTTATTCACTTCATTTTAAACACGCAGCTCACACATTTCAATTCTAAACACGCAACTCATACATTTTCATTTGCACGCAGCTCATTCTTAATTCTGAACATGCAGCTCATAAATTTTCATTTCTGAACAAACAGCTCATTCACTTCATTTTGAACACGCAGCTCACACATTTCAATTCTGAACACACAGCTCATACATTTTCATTTGCACGCAGCTCATTCTTAATTCTGAACACGCAGCTCATAAATTTTCATTTCTGAACACACAGCTCATTCATTTCATTTTGAACACGAAGCTCACACATTCCACTTTGAAGACGCAGCTCACACATTTCAATTTTGAACACGTAGCTCATAACACAACACTGCTCGATCTGAACACACGGCTCATAACACAGTATTCTTTTAATTTTGAACGCACAGCTCATTCTGAACATACAGGATGCGATGTCGGAACTTGTAGAAGTTGAAATAAACTTAGATATCTGACATTTTTCCTTTTTTCTTTTGCTTCGGAGTCTGGAACCTATATAGCTTCAGATAGGTCCTGGTTTACTGTTCCCACATGACCCGGGTTGAACCCTGCAATTTTTGAAAGAACAAAATCTTGTTTTGCACAAATATGGAGAACGGCACGGCACTTTGAGCACGAAACGATTTTTTGAAATTGAGAGTGAGAATAAGTTCTCAACTGGTATTGAGCCTACGACTGAACACAACACACCACGACTCAACAACAAAGAGAAAGACAAGGTAAGACAACCTAAACACATCTATAGACACCCAAAACAACTCAAAACAAGAATCGAGACAAACAAAATGACTGACACGACACACAGACGTGTTCCAATAGCAAGAGACCTCTCAGTGCACGAGGAGCCAGTTTCTTCGGGTAGTATTCTCCACCCTTTCTTATTTGTGATTCTCACATCACTCGGCCCTCAAGCTCGGTTTTTCTCTCAAAACCCTTTCCTCGCTTTTCCTCTCAGCGCACATCTCTCTATTCTTTAATCTCTCATTTTTCATCCCTTCCCAGGGTAGTTGATGGATAAACAGAAAGTTGCGGGCTCTTGCCCCTAGCATTCTGCTAGATTCTCTTCTTCTTCTTACAACAGTGAACTTTCCCATAGAGGGGTTGCACTACAACTGGGTGTGTAGCAAATCTGCAGCTGACATCGGTTGACGATGTTCTGCTAGGGAGTTTGGACATGATCAAATGTGTCCAGTTCATGCTTCGCACTTGGCCTAATACCTCGTTGCTTGGAGGATGTTGAGAGCTTTCAGTCCTTTGTTGTTAGCTTCAGTTATGCCCTTTTCTGGCAGGTAGAGTGCCCTTCTAGCAAGTATGTTAACAACGGGGAAAAGACAGAACACCTGACTCACCTGTGCCCCTAGTTCATTATTTTGACCATTTTTTTTTTTTTTTGATTTTCTACTAAAACAATTTTGACCAATATGAGAGTTAGATTAACACGCTTGTTCGATTTTCTAATTTGAAATCATGCAATTCAGGTTATGAGCACTAAAAATTTTCCTTTTTTGGGTCCAAGAAATGGTCCAATTTTGAAAAATGAAATACTTTTCGAGAAAATCAGTCAACCTCAGTAAAAATTCTCAAAAACTATTTTTGCAAATGGTCACTGCTCAACGAGCACGGAACCTACTCTCGAGATGCACAACCTCAGATCCGAAGGAGAATTGCCCCTTGTCTGAACGGCACTGCATGGCAATGGAAAGTTGCCCCTTGTTTGAATAGCACCGCAGCGCACTGAATGACAATGGAAAGTTGCCCCTTGTTTGAATTGCACCGCAACACACTATAACCAGTTCCTATAGTGAAGATCACAACCGAACTCTTGGATACAGAAATGACAAAGATGACTAAAGCCATCACATGGACACAGTCGAATTTGAAGTGTTTTACGGCTGGACTTCAGAATGAAGTTGCCTACATATCCCAAACATGGGAATCAAGCCTTACGTAGTTCGGCGGTAAGGCACACTCGGGTATTTAACCTCTCCTTTTGCGCTCTAACTTTTGCCAAGGCCGCCCTTCCGGGTTTTTAACCTTGCGAGCTTTGTTCTTCTTTTCTTTTCAATTCTTTTAATTTCTTTTTTCATCTTTTCTTTGCATTTTTCTTTATTTTCTTCCTTTTTTTTCATTCTTTGCATTTTTCTTTTTCTCTTTTTTCATTCTTTTCTTTTTTTTTTCCTCTTTTTTTCTTTTTTCATTCTCTGCTTTGCTCTAACTTTTGCCTGGGTCGCCCTTTCGGGTTTTCGGCCCAGCGAGCCTCTCAAGGGTAAAAGTGTAGCTTTGTCCATGTCAAATTGTTTGAGATCTCAAAGCCATATGAATCCAAGAGAGTGGTTGTTGTTCGCTGATGATGTAGAAGTCCATCCAATGGGGGGCTGAATTTGCCCCTAGTGTTGTGGATAGGAACTTGACCGTCTTTCAGCAATACTTTCTTCTTTCCTCCCTTTGGGGATTTGGCATTCTTGCCGATCTTCGTTAGCTTGAGAAGTGACTCATCTTTCGCTCTTTGAGCACATCTGATATTTTTGCCCCTAGTTCGAGGGGCGCTTCTAATCTAGCTTCGCAAGCTTTCTTTTGATCATATCTAACCTTCTTGCCTCTAGTTCATGGGCTGCTTCAAATCTGGCCACACAGGCCTTACATTGTGGTTGACCGTGGAACATTATGAATCTAAGTTCAAGTTTTGAAGTAAGAGGTCGAGCCTCGAGGCTGAGAGCGATCTTAGGCTGCACAATCTCAAGAGCGATTCCACATAGGTCTTCGCAGGACGGCGCAAAACATTTTTGAAATTTTTTAAGAAAGCGGCTAGTCACTTGCATTGAAGACTATGTAGAACCAATCTGGATGAAGCCAGGATCCTTCTCAGTACTCACATTAACAAACATGATTTCATTCATCAAGGGCTTAGCATGCCTCTCTTTCTCTCAATTTGATCAAATTTTGCAAATCCCGAGAAATTCCTTCCTCTTCGTTTTCACCGCAGTGTTTGAAAAAGTTTTGAAAAACTTAGGTCAATGCAACAATTTCAAGGCACAGAAGGGCAGGTGAAGAGCACTACCGTTCCATTCAAGTTTTCTGGCACAACTGGCGCAAGGCAGAAGCAAACACAAGAGTGTGAAAATCACTGTTGTTTTATTTAGATCTTCTGGTGTAACTGGCTCCAAGGCAGAAACAGACTCAAAAGAGTGTAAAAGACAAACACAAAACAAGAGAGCGATGTCCGAGGTAACACCCCCGGAATCACCCGACTTCTGTGCAACAGGACCGACTCGATATAACAAGACAGACCCGATTGACATAGTATAAAAAGATTGACTATGTACAAGACAACAAAACTGACTGAATACCCGAGTCAAAAAGTACAAAAACTAGCATTCGTAAATGCTCAAAATAGTGCGGGCCATACGCCACATCTGAAGCAAACTGAGGGCCGCCCGCAAGTGATTCAACCCCTCTGATCACATTACATTATCTTCGAGATTCACAAATCCGGTGACAATAGACTTTGCTGAGCTTGGTGGGAGGACAACCCCGTTGTCAAACAAATTCCATACTTCGTGGCGAAGACGGAAGCAATTATCGGTGTTATGACCGGTTTGTTGATGGTACGCACAGTACTGGGTAGTATCATGCGTAGCCGGAAGAGGATTCGGAAGAGGCCGACGCTCAAGGGGTTTGAGATGGCCTTTT